TTTCAGAGAGCCACATGGGATTTAACTCATCTTACCCCCACAGGCATGCTTGAATCAGTATTAATCGATTACTCTACCCTCCATTATCATCAGCAATCACGTATATTAACTCCGTTGTTCAGTGGCTGCTTCTAACGATTTACTCATAATCACTTTTTGCATCTTCCTAGCGAGCTGCAGTACAATATCAATTCAAATCGCTTAGATATTGATATTGCATTACGATGCACGCCCGCCTTGCCCCTCTGTTAAATAGGCCTTTGCAGTTGCACGCAGCTATTTTCACTCAACAACAACAACAAGATTTCATTTATATAGCGCCTTTCACGTCGGCAGAATGTCCCAAGATGCTGGACAGTGGGTCCCCAAGCAGTGGGGAAATGGTCAGGGTGAGGAGAGGGAAGGGAGGGAGCGAGGAGGGGGTAGAGAGTCGAGAGGGGAGCTGAAGGCACAGTTGAAGAGAAAGGTCTTGAGACCGGCCTTGAAGGAGGAAAGGGAGGAAGCAAGGCAAAGGCACTGGGGGATAGAGTTCCAGAGCCTAGGGGCTGAGAGGCTGAAAGCTCGGCCACCGATGGTAGGGTGGTTAGGGCGGGGGATGTGGAGCAAGCGAGAGACCTGGGTTCGATTCCCGGCAGGGCGAAATGTTGGGCAAATTTCCTTACCCCACACCCCTCTGTTTACCGAGTAGGAACTCGGTTGTTAGTTGATTGGCGGATCGCTTTTCTGAGATTAATAATTCCTTTTTAAAAAAAATTGGTCATTTCAATCCAGTTTTCCTGGCTAACAAAATGCAGTGTCATACTCCAGGACAGATCCCACAGAGGATTTAAAATGTGAAAGGCAAGAACTTGTGCATGCTTTGCTGCTATTTCTAGCTCTGTGGCTTGGAGCAGCTCCAGATTGTGTCTTTTTTAACGTTGTGGTTTTGTACGCAAGATCATATCTCTAGATTCATCACTCTCCCTGACTGCCAAATCCAGGTGTGAAAGCGCGTTGCTACCTGCAAGCCAGAGAGAGAGAGAGAGAGAGCAAGCATCCTGCCAATAGATGCGTGCAGGGCACCCAAGTCAGCCTCCCACTTCAGAGCTGGACTGAACTTTGTGCTGTCAGAGCCCATTCCTACAGCAGCACAGACTGAGACAACAACAACAAATTGCATTTATGTAGCACCTTTTACATCGGGAGGACATCTAAAGGGCTGGACAATGAGGGGTTTGCAGCCGAGCTGCGGGTTGGGAGAGGGATGGAGGGCAAGGTGGTGGAGGAGGGATGATTCTGGACCTATGGAGGTTTGGAGCAGCAAGCCAGATTTATACTTATCCTTCCCCTTCCCATGTTTGTCCCTTGACTGAATAGCCAATTTCACTGTTAAGAATCCTTGCGTTTAATAAAGGGCCGATAACACCATTTCAAAGCACTTCAAAAGGAATCGCTGCAAAGTGTAGTGACTGTGTTTTGTGGACCAACGCAGCAACCGTCCCACAAACAGCCATGAAGCGAGTGCGTAACTTTTATCTGGGGGATTGTTGGCCAGGACACCGGGAGAAACACCCTTATGTTTTTGGATAGTGCCATGGGATCTTTAATGTCCACATGAACAGGTTTGCAGGACCTCAGTTTAAGGTGTTGTATCAAATGCAAGGCTTATTATTATTATTATCATCATATATTAGCTTGCCGTCACCCAGTAATAACACTGTGTGATGGTGTGGTCCATGGCATCACAGGGTCGGAAGCTTATCAGGTTAAATCAATCATAGTTAATCGCTTAATTGCTCAACACTCGCTCATAAAAAATGATATCATTGCCTCAGGCTTCTCAGGAACTGAGACATATTAAATTGAAAGATTTTTTTTATATATATAAATATACAAGGTTGTTTCAATTAGACTGTTTAGCGATATTGAGGCAAAGACATAAATAGAAAAAATCTGTGCAAAAATAATTTAATCACAACCACAAGAAAAATCCATCACAAGTACACTATTACATTCGTTATTTTCCTGGTTGTTTTGGCAGGTGGGGGAGGTGGTGGGGGGGGGGGGGAGAGGGATATTTCAATTAAGTGTGTCATATTAACCGTGGTAACTGGCTCTCTGTGTAAACACTTACTGCAAAAAATCCTGAGAAAAGGTCAGTTTGGTTAGATAAATAGGGAAATTAAAATATTTTTTTGAAAAAGATGGGTCCCTAGCGCATGCACACATGACAGTACAATTTGTTAAATCGTGCACACAGCTCTTTCCTTAGTTATCTCCTGTGGTTTCCTTATGTCCTGCTCCCATTAGAATGCTTCTAGACCGATAGAAGAGGCAAAAACACACACAACACACACACACACACACACTTGTCACAAAATCAGGCAAGCAGGCATCAGGAATAACCTCTGCTTTTCCCCTTGACTCTCCATGCTCAAAACAAAAATCACTTTGCCTCACACCTCTTTCCCTGCTCCCAAACATCTAAACCACCCATCTCGTTCACTGACGCCCTTCAGTCAAATTCTCTTTACCCAGAGGGTGATTGATGACTGAAACAGACTGCTGGGAAGGGTGATTTGTGGCCAGGACACAGGGACTCATTTAAAAAGCAGTTTGATGCTGTGATGGGAGGACGATACGGTGAATGTTGTGGAGGGATGGGATCAAATGGGTTGAGGGGACTTCTTCATCCAAACCAATCTTATGCCCTCCACAATTCCTCCCCCATCCTTGCTCGGTGTCCACCGCTTCCCATTGCTAAAATTTAGGTGTTCTGTAAAGTAAATGGTGCTTTGCAAATGTAAGTGGTTATTGTTTATTCGCATTGGCAAAGCCACTGGTGTTTTAATCATTTAAATTTATTATTTAAACCCGATCACACCAGAGTGCTTTTCTCTGACTATAATCTTATACATTTTAAATAATTATATGGAATATATAATTATGTATTATATTCCACGTTTCGCCCACAAAATATACAGTCAATTCCCTTTATAGTATATTCTGTGAAGCGCTTTGAGATGTCTCAATGACGTGATAAGGCACTATATTAAATGCAAGGATTATTAATATTATTATTATTATTGAAAAAGCAAAGGGAGTTTCTCCCAGCGTCTCGGCCACCAATCCCCCAGCCAAAATAGGTTGTTCACTTCACAGCTGTTTCTGGGACGTTGCTTTGTGGAAATAGACAAGACTGCTGCTTCAAAATGCAGTCACCACACTGAAAAGCAATTAACTGTGGAGCGTGTTTCACCATAATCGGTGCTACATCACATTAATTAACCGGGGTTATTTATCTCGTTTCTCTGCTGCCCTTTGCTCCCTTGCCTTGCTTGTCTCTTGTCCTATCTGCTTTACCCCTTCATGCCGCTTTCAATCTGTTCCAATCTGCATCACGTTCCTCACAGCACGGCGAGCAAGACCCTGTTAAATGCTCCTGACAAGCTAATAATAAAGCGTTGCGGAAAACAGGTTGTTTTGTGTAACCAAAAGCCACGTGCAGTCGTCGCTTTATTGTCTGTGTCTCGCTGTACGGCACATCAGGAGCAGTGCAGCTATCAGCCCAGACAGCAGGGTATTACTGCTGCTTCACTGGCTCTCTGCCCAGGGATGCTTGCTGCCCACAGTGGCACTGCCACAAAAGGCAAACCTTGGGCACTTTGAGAGGGAGAACGAACTCGAGTTATCTTTCACTAGCACAGACTCCTCGCTCCAAAGTAAACATCTCCGGCTGACAGTCATGCAAAGCCCAGCCTGCACCTCACACGGGCTCTGACAGACCTGTGAATTAGTCGCTGTTCAGAGACTCATTCAGTTTTGCTTACAGCTATATCTCTGCCTAATTGAAACCTTTTAATAAACACATCTCGCAGATATTGCTCCGGGTTAATTACCATTCTGGGAGGCCTGAAATTCCACCTGGTCCTATAGCCTGTAGGACCATTTTGTCTCAAAATTGAAGAATTTAAAATTGAAATTGAATTTTTTTTAAAAGACCAGCTGATAACAGGAATCCTGCGGCCGATCACTATGCAGCGCCTCCTACTGGACTGTGTGTGTAGAGGTCAGGTGCAGGACAGGATCCATCCAGCTTTTTTGCAATTTGCCAGCTACACGATCCTATTTTTTCGCCGGAAGCTTTATAGAGCAATTTCACGGGTGCTTAGATAATGGGTCGGGACGTCGACCATTTGGATTGGTGCACCAAGGGGAAAAAGTGCATTAGAATTTATGAAATACACCTTAATAAAACATACCTGCAACATCAAAGCAGAACCACCTGTTTTTAGCGCTAGCTGCTGTTCATCGGGCTGCTGTGCAGGTCAATTCAGTCACCCAAGGGGACACACACTTAAAAAAGGGGGCCAGTGCCCACCTTATTCCAACGGGCCAAAGGCTTTTAAAAAAAGAGGGTCGTCCACATAAAACACCCCCTATTCCAATGTGTGACACATTGGCACAAGACATTCCCAGTCCTGTCCTCCGTTTAATTCATCAAAACAGACCCAGATGCACATAGATGAGCACCCAAAGAGGAAGGTGTTGAGACGGACCCTAAAACCGTCCCCATTTCGCTTCAAAATTTAATTTCAGAATGCAATAACAATCCTTGCATTTGATACAGCACCTTGTCATGTTGATGTGGCTCAAAGCGCTTCACAGGATTTTACTGTAAAGTGTAGTGACTGTGTATTTTGTAAGCAAACACGGTAGCCAATTTGTGCACAGGAATGTCTCATAGACAGCCACACAATGAAATGACCTATTTTATCCGGGGTCACTCAGCAATGTGGATTTGTCTTCATTTTAGCCCTAATTTGGAGGCCAGACTGAATTTTAAGATCTGTGTACAACAGGCTTCCTGTTTCTCACAATTCTTCTTACATTTTAAGAGGGAACAGTCAGACCTGGGAGCATTTGGGGCCTTAGCTCCTGTGGTTGTTCAGAATTTTCTTTCGTTCTTCCTTCAAGATCTCCCTCAGGAGCAGTTTCAAAATGGAGGAAAAAAAAGGTACCTTTAATTTCACCCAGTATTTCGCCTGTGTTCAGTCCAGCCATCTTCTCCTTCCAATCTTTTGAGAGAAACTTCTCTACACATGAAGATTCTGTGTGGTGGGGAAGGAAAAATAAGACTATTTAGGGAAAACAATGTTGCAACAGTCAAAAAGTACATTTCTTCATAGGTCACAAGAAGCCCATTTGACTATGCATTCCACTTGACTGACATCTCAATCAATGCACAACTCGCACACACACACATTAAGCCAACACACCATCTCACAAGATATCTTCAGCTATTTTTTCCACTTGGACCTTAAACTAACTGTCTCTCTGTCCCTCATTCACAGATTCTCGTCCTATTAATTTCCTGCATTTTGCCCGTCAAATTCCTAATGCGATTCCTAAGTCTAAAGCCTTTACCCAGAGTTCCACTTTATTTCCTCACTCCTTTCTCACACAGCTGAAATAATCTTTCCCGGCTTCAATCTGGCTTTATTGGGTTGCCCTCTTGCCTCTTCTAACACTTCTATGTTGTTTTATATTGAAGTTAGGTTATATTGGGTCATTTTGCAGTACAGGTTTGTGTGCAGTACGTAACGCACAGAATAAAGTTTTAATAATAATCCTTGCATTTGATATGGGGCCTTTCACATCGGCAGGACATCTCAAAGGGCTGGTCCACAATCCTCCAAATAAAATCAACCTTTCACTTTCTTGTTGTTTGTGGTAAGTGCAAGTTCGCTGCCCGGTTTGCATGCAAAAATACCCAGTCACTTCACTTCATAGTGAATCCTGTGAAACGCTTTGAGACATCCTCCCGGCAACAGATCAAGTACGAAAAGCATTATTGGTAAGGTTATTTGGAAGCCGAACTGCAGGAGTTTTACTGCAATTCTGCACCATCCAAACTTTTAAGGCAAAATGATCTTGCAGGCTAAAACTAGGTGGAATTTCATGCTACCATCCCCTCCTCAGCTCCCACCCCTCCATTGGCGGAAACATACGCCAAGAACATTTAGCTTTTGACCTTTCTGAAGTGGAATCTCGACAGGTTCCAAAAGAGCAAAATAGCATCAAAGCTGCTATTTCCAGTGTGTGTGTGAACGTCTCTCTTTTACTTGTGGTTTTCCTTTATGAAGCTTCTTTTACAAATTATATTTATTCCTTTATGTACATCGAAAATAAATTATTTGAAGCATCCGATCTCAAAACAACAATTGATCAGTCGACTGCAAATAGCAGTAAATAACACCCGAGATCTGAAGCCTGAAAGCCGGGTGGGAATGAATGTGTTAATGGCCTGTAATACAGAAAAAAGGGCTTCTAATGGTATCAGAAAGCACAAGATCAAAGGTGAGATACACTTCCAGACTTCTCTTGGTCTTTTATGCTTGTGAGCAGCTTGCAGCACTTCCTCCAAGCGCTTGCTTCTCTCCCCCCATTCCCCGAGGCTGCGACACATACGGGGTACGACGGTTGCTCAGACACTGGCTGCCTTTCACTGCTTCACCCGCTCGACCATCCTGTCTGAGCTCAGTGGTGGGGGAGGTGGGTGGGGGGGGGGGGTGGAGGATCGGGAGCTATTCCATTCTACGCTCAATGCCAATCCGGCCCTCAGTTGGTCAACGCTGCTAACTTTCTACACCTCCAATCCCCTACCACTGAAACTATTATTGTGCATTGTGTGTGTGTGTCTACCTGTGCGTGGTATATGCGTGTTTGTGGTTTTGTGCATGTGGTTGTAAGTGTGCACGGGCGTGTGGACGTGCAAGTTTGTATGTGCGTGCGGGCTCCATGCGGGCGGTCATGTGTTTGTGTAGGTTTGTCGTGAATGTTTGTGGCTGTGTGTGCGAACATGCACACGGATAGGTATGCGTGTGCATATGTGTGACTGTGTGTGTTTGGCACGTTTGTGAATGTTTGTGTCTGGATATGTGAGCGTGCGCATTTGATTGTGTGAGTGTGTTTGGTTATGTGTGTGTTTGGTTATGTGTGTGTGTGTACGTGTGTGTGTGCGCGCACGCATGCGTACGCTGGTGTGTGTGTATGTATGTATGAAAGTTTTGCAGGAAATAAAATGTCAGTCTCTCTAACGCAGATGAGAGGAGAGGAAAGGAATGGCTCGCTGGACATAACAAATCCATTTTCACCAGGAGGAGCCACTGCCCGGTCGGTGTGCAATCAAACAATATTTGCTCAATCGATTTAGGGTAAACCGCAAGACGTTTGGGGCAGAAGGAAACGAGAAACAATTAAGAGAAACAATATTGCTGGCGACATTCCGCTGCGCTGCCTTTCTGAAGCAGTTTGCAGTTTTATTCAAAGCAGGAGACTTATCTGAGGCTGACAGCTTCAGAAAGGTGGATCAGAAGACTGTCTACACTGATAAGCGACACTACAAAGTAAAAGCCAAAGCGAGCACGAGGTAAAAGATGACATGAAGTACACACTATCAGCACCCAGCAATGAAAACAATTAACATTTATTCCTGCTGTAATGAATCAGCCCAGGAATTGCTGGAATTCTGCGATCTGTTGCAAGGACTGTGATAAAAAGCATGTAACTAACTATCAGACCCTGGTCTCTGAAGTCTTTCTCGAAGCTGGGGGTCAGCTTGTTCTCATCAAACTGAGCTTTCCCTCCCCCGCCACCCCCCCACCCTCCATACCCCCCCCGCTTGCAATCTGGCATGCTTTGACAGCAGAGGGATTCAGCTCAGATCAGTACCAGAGCCCAGACTCTGAAAACGAAGGCAGGAAGATCAAAGAGCCTTTAACAAGGCTGGTATGCCTATCCATTAAAAAATACATGCAATATTGCATAAATAAATCGACTCGTTGAATTTTATCCTTGTGTGCTGCTGTTGGTAGGTAGCTTGGTAGGCAGCCCGTGTCGGTAAAACTGAAAAGAAAGGTATATTTGAGGGCAGTCCTATTCTCCGTGCTTTATTTTGATCTGAAAGGTTACGATGTTCAAAGTGAAGTGCCGGGCACATCACTAGGCAAGCTGCAAGAGAACTGGAATGCGCTTAGACGTGGGTGAGAATAACGGCAGTGGGGACAGAGAGAAGCGTTGGATTGTTTCGTTCTGAACCTCTGCAGAAATGCCGTCCGACTGGCCCGTTTAATCTCAGCCTCTCATCTCCATCCTGATGTAACCCCCCGAAAACAGATAAATAATTCAAAACTCTCGTCCCCAGCGCTGGCACAAAGAGGAGATTAAATTAAGCTAATGGCAGCAGCCGGACCTCAGGCAGGTTTCTGTTTACAGGAGCAGCGACCGGAGACAAATTCCTGCAGAATATTAATCCAGAGAAAGAGCGGGACGAAAGTGCCACGTGAGCTTGTTTTATCCCACAACGTGAAAAAGGCTTAACCCCTCCCCACCCCGGCTCAGTCTCCTGGGGGAAAGGCCAGAACTCGACCATTACAGAGTACTTTCTGTCCCTCACAAACATACTCTCTTTCCCGACCCATCACACCCAAACATCTCTCCCTCTCTTTCCCCCTTAGCGTTGCTATGATTGCCCATGGAGTTAACCTGTTCACTTCAGCCTTCTTGTATCATTATTTCAGTGCATAATAATGATAATAATAATAATTTGATATAGTGCCTTATCAGGTCGTTGCGATGTCTCAAAGCGTTTCACTATATAAACTATAAAGTGAATTGACTGTATATTTTGTGGGTAAATGTACCACGGTACATTTACATCTTTGCCTACAGATACACAGTCACCAGATGTTTACAGTACATCCCGTGAGGTTCTTTTACACTTTTTGATGACTTTGTGATCAAGAGCTGTATCAAATGCAAGGATTATTAGCATTATCCTGAAACGTTACATTGGGCTGGTCAGAAGTGATGCTGGCAACAGTCTTAAAGAGCTGGTGTCTTCTTGCTTTATATTCGGCAAACCTGCTTTCGTTTGGGTGAGGGAGAAAGCACAGAGGAATCATGCTTGATTTTAGTCAGAGTTTACCAGATAAACAGAAAAAGTACGTATGCATATAGAAGTCTCAGTGGTTTAGCTTAAGCGTGGTGACAGGTTTATGTGTGTCAGACGTCATGACTGGCCAAAATAAAATATTTTGGATCACTGCTGGTCAGTTGAGTTCTGTACAATAAAAATTATAACCATTTCATATAGCATCTATAACGTCAAAATGTCTCAAAGCGCTTCCCAAATAATTTCTGTAGAGTGTAGCGGCTGTATATTTGCAAGCGAGTACAGCAGCAAATTCGCGTATAGCGATGTTCCACACAGCCAAGATAATAATAACAGTAATTCTTGCATTTGATATAGCGTTTTTCACGTTGGGAGTACATATCAAAATGTTTCACAGGGAGTGTAGTGACTGTGTATTTTGTAGACCCACAAACTTCTGGCTGAGAGGTGAGAGCATTACCAAGCTGACGAGACTTGAGAGCAGGAGGTTTGGGTTCATATTCCCAATGGTTCCTTTGCATGAGACATTAAACTGCCTGGTCAGGTGGATGTTAAATATCCCTTGAAAAAGAAGAGAGTTTCTCCCTTCGTCCTGGCCTAAAAAATCCTCCTCATAAAATTGGTCATTTACTTCATGGCTGTTTTTGGGACATTGCTGTGTGCGTATTGGCTGCCAGATTTGCCTACAAATAGACGGTCAATATACTTTAAAGTAAAATCTTGAAGCAATTTGAGACGTCTTCCTGATGTGAAAGGCACTGTATCAAATATAAGGATTTATGGTATTATGCTCAGATCACAGCTGAAGACCTTCCACTTCGACCGTGCTAATGGTCACCTCCCCTCTCTCCCCGGCTCAGCATCAAGCTCAGAGACGCTGTGCTGTGCGAAGGGCTCGAAGTAAATCCGAGTTGCTGTTGTTGTATGCTCTGTGGTGTGTTTGTGTTGGTGGGATCAACACTCCATCTTTTGGAATCACTATTTCAGCGCTAGTAAATAAGGCTCCAGTATTTATCACTGTATTAAAATGCTGCGAGGGAGGGAAGAGGGAAAGGGGAATGAATGGGGCCACGACTGAGAGCACCTGTGCTGGCACCTGGGGAGTGCGCCGAGCGAGTGCCTGAACAGCCTACTAATGGCAACGGCCCGCCTCGC